CCCCGCACAGTACTGCCACGCTGTTTGGGGGGACCCAGACGCTCCAAACTACCACAGGTGAGTTCGTGTTGTTGAGAATGTATATACGACCTCTTCAGGGTACCCAAAGATGGCTCCAGCTCACCTACAGATACTCACACTTGGCAGGTGCAGCCTCTTGAACCCAGGGTACAAAGGAGAGAGTTGCCTGGGGGCAAAGGTGAGAGCAATTTCTCAGATTTGGGAACCCGAAGATCTCTAGCCTGCCTAGACTTCTCCAAGACTATTAACATCAAAATTACTTAATGTGCTTCCTAACAAAAGTAACTTCCTGAGCCCCTTCTCCCCCTGGCAGTTTATCAAATCAGAGACCTGGGGGTTGGAGGGATGGCAGGAGTCCCTATTCTGATAAAGACTCACTCCCAGTTTCCTGCTGTCCTCATCTGCTAAGCTAGATGCAACATTTCACTTCTGGACAGATCCCAGATGCCCATCTCCGTGGTTACGCATTGTGGCCCGAGCACGGTCCCCCACAACTGGTCCAGCCAGATGGACCCGGGGTCCAAGACACGGATTTTCTCCTGTATGTGTGGGTGGCCCACACTTCCAAGTGCCATGGAGAGGTGAGACCCAAATCAAATCCTTTTCCTTGTTCTGCCTCTCTTAATTTTAAATATCATGGGAAGGGGAAGAGAGCACAAAGGCAGTTTTTATTAACTTGTGATTATTTGAGGTGACTCGGTCATGTTGATGAAGTTTGGATGGGAGCTAAACCCCTTCAAAGCCATCCCCTGGAGCTATCCCTGCTGAGTTCCCTGGGTGTCCATTTTCAGGAAGAGTGCTTCTGTGTTCCCCCACTTCCCTGGCTTCCACCTCTGACCTTGTCCTGGCCCATCCACAGCCCTCTGTCATAGCCTACGCTGCCTGCTGCCAGCTGGACTCGGAAGACAGACCCCTTGCTGGTACCATCATCTACTGTGCCCAGCATCTCTCCAGCCCCAGCCTCAGCCATAGTGACATTGTCATGGTGACTGCTGCATGATAAGTAGGAAGGCGCAAACAGGTTGGGGAGAGGGGCAGGTCATTCAGCTTCCCACGGAATGAAAGAATCTATTAAGGATGGAGGAGAAGGTGCCTCAACTCTAGGAAGAGCTGACTGGGCAGAGGAACTATCCAGTGGCAGGTCAACCTGCTCCGTCCCCGGTCTCCCTCATCCTGTGGTCATTTGTCCTCAGGTCACACTCCATGAATTGCTCCATGCTCTGGGTTTCTCAGGACAGCTCTTCAAGAAGTGGCGGGATTGTCCCTCAGGACCCAGTGGTAAATGGGAGGAATGAGGGCAAGCTTTCCCACGATGTCAACAAAAGGGGATCACTAGCCCCCCACCAATGCCTTCCTTCCAGTTCTGCTCCCCTCTTCCTAAGCGTTCCTCACCTCATATTGCCTTCTTCCCGTTCTGTGCTCAGTTAGAGAGAACTGTTCTACAAGGCAACAAGTGACAAGGAGAGATGAGTGGGGACAACTGCTTCTTACCACCCCAGCTGTTAGCCACAGCCTGGCCAGACACTTGGGAGTGCCAGGGGCTTCACCGGGGGTTCCCTTGGAAGAAGAGGTGGGAACAGGATGCCCAGTGGTGCTGGAAGGAGGAGGGAGTGGTCAGGTGGCAACCAGCTCCCTCCTCCCTAGGGCCCTCTGTCTTCACACTGGGAGGCCCGACTGCTCCAGGGTTCTATCATGACTGCTACCTTTGATGGTGCCCGGCGCACTCGACTGGATCCCATCACTCTTGCCGCCTTCGAAGACTCCGGCTGGTACCGAGTCAATCACAGCGCAGCAGAGGAGCTGCCGTGGGGCCAGGGTGAGAACAGGGGAGACTGGCAGAGGACCATGGGGGCAGTGAGAGTTTGGGTGGGGATTTTCTGCTGCTCAGGTGTCACTGAAGCCGTGAGCACAGCTCGAGCTGAGGGACACTTGGGGCTTCTTTTGTTTGGAGGGCTCTTTCTCTTCCTATCTCTCCAGCAGGATCTGGCCTGGAATTTGGCCTGGTGACTACATGTGGGGCTGGCTCCTCAGACTTCTTCTGCACTGGCAGGTAGGTGTGCTGTGTGGTTGGGGGTGATACGGCTGTCGGGGATCCTAGTGGTCAGCTGCCCTCCCTTCCACGCAGTAAGCTGGGCTGCCACTATCTGCATCTGGATAAGGGAAGCTGCTCCTCAGACCCCATGCTGGAAGGCTGCCGCATGTACAAGCCCTTGGCCAATAGGGTGAGATGACTAGAGAATAGAAAGGAAAGGAATGGAGCTGGCCCAGAGCGGAGTCAATTTCTAAGGCATTTCGGCAAACACTTTTCTGCCTCCTGCCCCGCCCCTCAGAGTGAATGCTGGAAGAAGGAAAACGGGTTCCCTCCCGGGGCAGAGAACCCCCACGGGGAAATTTACCATTCCCAGAGTCGTTGCTTCCTCGCCAACCTCACTTCACACCTGCTCCGTGAGGATGAGACCAGGCATCCGTCTGAGATCCCACATCCGGTGGAAGCAGAGCTCACGGGCCGCTGCTACTTACACCAATGCACAGAGAGAGGAGCGTATGAGGTGCGGGCCGAGGGGACAGCCTGGGTCCCATGCCTTCCCGGAAAGGCTATTCAGGTTGGTATCATAAGCAAAAAGCCAAAAAGTGCATTGGCAAAAGGAAGTCTAAAAGTGCTCATATAGCAGTACTATCCAACCTCTTCCGATGTTCTTTCATTTTTCACTAAGTGCCCACTGAGTCCATGACCCTGATCTAGATTGTACTTTTTCCTTAGAAGGGGGGCTTGAGCAGGCAATTGAGGTCCTAAATACATCTGCTATGTATTTCCTTGCAGATACCTGGGTACTCTGGTCTTCTCTTCTGTCCCCGGGGTCGGCTTTGTCAAACTTTCAAAGGTACCAGTGCTGTTACTTCCCCACCTGTGAGTCTTCTGCCTCAAGACCTGTTATTCCAGCTGTCTTTACAATTAGCTGGGCCCCCAGGCCCCTCGGTGGGGAAGGAAGAGCTGGACGGGCTGACCGAAGCAGTACTCCAGGCTCTGGTGAGCAGAGGCGGCACCGGCAGGTAAAGGGACAGCTCAGGCTGAGGATTTATACAGTGGGCCACAGGAACGGCTTAAGTGGGTTACTTCACAACACTCCTCTAAAGACTTTATCCCACTCCTAAGCCTGCACCTGCTTCAGGAGATATACTCTTCCAGGGATTCCTCCTCCTTTAAGAGATCCAAATGTCCCTATAGGTGCTATTTCCACAGCCCCTCCATTACCACCAGTCTGGTGTTCACTGTGTACATGGCCAAGTCCCCTGGCTGCCAAGGGCCTTCGGTTGGTATGCTGCACAGGGACCTGACCCTGACTCTCCAGCAGAAGCCCCTAGAAGTACATTATGGAGGAGCCAGCTTTACCATGGCACACATCAAGTAAGAGAATATCCTAAGTAGTTTTCTTTCAAATTTCTGGAGTCCAGATGTTGGAAATTGCATTAAGCTCTCACTCATATGTAGTCTTAGGGTTATTTCAGAAGACAACTAATGTGATCACCTCAGGTCTGTCACTATGGGACACCTTTCCCTCCACAATCATGGACTTCTCCATCTCTAGGACATAGGGATCCTAGTCCTCTTCCTCCCTTAAGTACTAATGGGGCACCATGTCCAGTCACCCAAACACCATAGTCTAACTCTTCCCTTAAACTTCCCCTCACTGCCAAGTTAGGTCTCCTTCCAACAACTTAAGTTGCTGGGAGGCTCAGACTTTGGTCTTTTTCCTACTTTCAGGTTCTATATTCCTGACTTCCTGTGTAGCTTACTGATTGGAAGAGGCAGGGTTTCATGAGCTCTGCATATTAGGATAAAGGTGAAGTCCTTCACCTGTAAGCCTAGGCATTATTCCAAGCCAAACGTTACTTCTATGTTCCTAGGTTGCTGGTTACCTTGGACCATAAGCCCTCTGTGACCCATCTAGCACTGTCCACAGGACTCTGCCTAACACTGCTTATCCTGGTGGGTGCACTGGGAACCGTGGCCTATCAGAAACGAGCTACTCTTCTGGTGGCACCATCTGGCCCTCACTGTTCACCAGAGCTCCAAGACACAAGGGGCCCAGTTACAGGAATGAGGGAGGTGTGATGTTACCCAGAGAATAACAGGATAGATATGGAAGATTATTTCTTGGAAGACAACTGGATGGCAAGTCTACACTTCAGTTCTGCTTTTCTCAAAATGCCTCTTTCTTTAGGTATCACCTCTATACTAGCCTTGTAATGAAAAAAAAAAGCGAGAGACATGGTTCTGAAGATCCATTCTTTATTCTGATACAAAAAATAAACCCTTCAACCTATGAAGAGTGTCACTTGTTTTTGTTTCACAAGCAAACTTACAGAATAGGAATCTGTTACCAGCTCCAAGAATATCACATATGCTTTAGGAAAAGTCATTGCTATTTAGATTCAAATAAACATCAGTGTCAGAAAGGAGTAACTAATTATCTCCCTTTCCTGATTTTTCCATAATCTTACAAAATTATCACTAGGAAAGCTAATAGTTGGGATGTCAACATAATTATGCCAGAATCTGATAAGGGCAGTGAAACCAGCCATGTGAATCCAGTTAATCTACAAAAACATGACCTTTTTTTAATAGTCCTTCTCTCTGTTTCTGGAATAGGAAGGCTCTACTTTATAGCCCCATGGGCCAGCAATACACTTGAGTTACAACGTGTAGGTTCCTTCTGGTTATACTTGCAAAATAAGCCATGGAATTCTTGAGGGTGTGACATGTAGAAAGGAACAAGCTAGGAGGCAGACTGCTGATCTGGATTGACTTAGATGGAAAACATTCATATGAGCAGTCCAGCTGACAGGCTGTTAACGTTGAATAAGCAAGCCTTGGGGCGCCTGGGTGGCTCAGTCAGTTAAGCGTCCAACTCTTGATTTGGGCTCAGGTCATGATCTCAGGGCTGTGAGATCGAGCCTTGTGTTGGGCTCAGTGCTGAGCCTGGAGCCTGCTTAAGATTCTCTCTCTCCCTCTCCCTTTGCCCCTTCATCCCCCAAAGAAATAATCAAGCCTGTACTGGTCAACAAGTTCAGTCAGCAGATCAGGATACCATTCCTAGGCCTTTAAGTAACACATCTGAAGATCTCGCGGTGAAGTTGCAGCTCCATCAGCTGTGAGTATCTTCTTTGACTTTAATGCCCATCAGTCCTTACCAGCCGTAGCAGCCACTGCCTGGTAAAACTTTGCCACGAAGTCTGGCTCACTGACCTCTAGCTGCCTGACAAATTCATTGCGCTCCTGCTCAGCCCAACCTCGAAACCACTGATCCCAAAGTCGTAGCTGGCACTCAAAGATACAAGGTGGTCGGTTTGCTCCAGACACACTAAGCTGCTCCAGCCCTTCCAGCAGTGGCTGTAATTTTCCTGGCACTGCCTTAGCTACCAGGTCCTGTAGGAAACGTTCACGCTGTGGACCTGACCAACTGGCAAACCAGTGAAGAATACACTTCATCTCCTGGGAAGTGATGTAAGACATTGGGGGAGGGGAAGAGTTAGTAATACCATCTGGTACTGGAGGTAGTGGAGAAGGGAGGGATAGTGGTATTGAAGAGGAAGATGATTCCAGTGGCATCCTGAAACATAAAAGCACTGTTATATACTCTCTAGAGTAACCAAAATACAACTTCCCAACAAGGAATCTTATCAAAAACAGCATCTACAGATAAAATTACTTTTCAACAATTCAGCTTACAGGAAAACAAAAGGATAATTCATATAGGTTATTACCCGATTACCTCAGAGAAGTCACTCAAGAATAACTTCATTTCATACTTGCCAACCTCTCTCTTTTTCAGACCCATCACCCTCCCCGACCCCTTCTTCTCTCCATTATTCTTATAAGAAACCTAAAAATAACCAACATATTTCTTGCTCATTCTCCCTGGCCTACTTCTGTGTTCCAGGGTGAGTGAAGAAAAAACGATTAATGTTGGTGCATCTCACCTTCCTTAAGATGAAAAAAGGTACACATTTTAAAATCTAGTACATGCAGATGGTCTGGGCATAGATACTAATCATCGAGAGCTATCAATGGTGAGAAAAGAAAAAAAAAAAAATCACATATGATGAAAGAGCCTTCTTTGTAATGTGCACATAGCCTCTGAATTATGCCCAGAACTTCCTAACATCCATTTCTTCCTTATATTTCCAGTAAAGCACCACGAAAAATTAAGAGCAGAGTGAAGGTGCCTCACCCAAAAGAAGATAACACAGTAAGAAAAAACAGAAGCCACATGTTTATTCAAGACTGAAAAAAGTCTAGTCGGTTTGGTGGCTTAGGAGTCTAATAAGTGTTACACTGCTGTAGATGTGTAACAACTGATGTCTTTGCACATTTTCAAGGTTTAATGCAAAACACCCAGTGATGTCCTGCCATTGATTTGCATCAGTAATGCAAACAGAAGGTCAGTTAACTTGAATAGGTTTCGAGTTCCACAGTTTGAATTTCTAACAATGAAAACCTTAAACTACTTATCAATAATCTATTCTGTCTGCGTTTCCTCTGCTGAAAGTTGGGAGTATTTGTAGTAACAAAGAAAAGAACCTCTAAGCAATCAACATCAGTCCAGTACCCAAACAGTCCAAGGAGATCGCCTTTTTCACAGCAATTCCTCCTAAGGAACTTTATTCTTACTCGAGTAAGAAAAAACTTTCGTCGGGTCTTGCGACATGGCCTCCACAGCAAACTCAAGTTCAAAGAATATGAATCAGTTCACAGTTTGGGCCCAAAGACACGGTGCTGCCACTTGCCCACTTTGGAGGCCACGGAGCCTGGCATTCCAAGGACCCAAAGAGCAACGTAGTCTTAGATGGGAGTGGCGGGGACTCAGCGATTGGGAGGCGGCAGGGGGATCGGTAGCAGAGCGGGCAGTGCGCCCTACTAGCGTAAGCCGCAAACACCGAGTCTGACCCAGCCTAGACAGAGACTTCTACCCCGCTTACCTCCCCTTTCCTCTCACAGGGCACCCGAAGACCGTCACAAAAGTGTTTAAACTCCAACTGCCGCCCCTGCTTCCATGTTTCCTGAAAACCCTAAACAGGGCCAGCCCGGCAGCCCACGCACTTCCGGTCCCGGACCAGCCCCAAACACCCAAGCTCCTCAGCGTCTCAGCCTTAGGTTCGGAGATGGCCGAGCAACTCCGATTTTGGTTATGCCACAGTCGACGGCTTCCGAGTACATTCGATTCACAGCCTCGGTAAGACGAAAATAACCGAGCTCTGAAAGCAGAGGGAGGGAGAGGGAAGTGGCTGGGAGGAGGGAAAGAACTGATTGGTGCCGATGTAGAGACGGAAATACCCGAGCAGTTCCGGAGGAACCCGGGGAGTTCTGAGTGGTAATCGAGGGGTTGACTATGGCAGTGGGCGGGGTCAACTCGGTACGTTCGAAGGGCGTTGGCGGAAATTACCGAAGATGCCCGAAGCCGTCGGGACGGACCCGAGTACCTCACGCAAGATGGCGGAGCTGGAGGAGGTGACTCTGGACGGGAAGCCTCTTCAGGCGCTGCGGGTGACCGACCTGAAGGCCGCACTGGAGCAGCGAGGCCTAGCGAAGAGCGGGCAGAAGAGTGCCCTGGTCAAGCGGCTCAAAGGGGTGAGAAGTCGGCGTTGCCGGGGTGTCGGAGGGGAGCGGACCCGGTAGAGACGAGTCTCTGCCGCGGCGCAGGCGCAGTGTCCGGGCTCCGCGCGAGCGAGCTCAGGCCGCCAACGCGAGCCTCCGGATCCGCGCGCACGGTGGTTGGTGAGGCTCGCGCTGGAATAGAGATAGCGCCGGTTCCCGCCTTAACGGCAGCGGCGCGAGCCCAAAATGGGAGGGTGCGCGCTACTCTCCCGGAGTGTCTTAAGCTCCTTCCTCCTTCCCCCACCCCCTCCTTGTTTGTGTCTGTGGTTTCGGCGCATGCGCTGCAGAAGGAGTTAAATCCCACTACTACCACTGGCGTTGCTGGCCTGAGGGGGGCGAATTGGGCTGGGTCGGAGTTAGGGGTATAGTTGGACGGAGGAGTTAATGGGGTTGGTGTCGGTGTTGGTGTCCGGAAGAATAGGATTGGGATAGAATGAAATGTCTACCTGATTAGATTAGTAGGTGAGATGAAGAGAAACCTTAATTTGAAGGGACTCGGTTATAGAGGGGTGTATAATTTATAGGGCATCCAGAAGCAATTTGGACGGATAAGAGTTTGGTGAATATTGGTGAGAGAGGTGGGGCAGGTTGGTATATGTTGGGGGTTTTGAATCGATTTGAGTAGTTTAGGGTGGGATCGTCATGAAGTAGGTGGATTTGTGTGTATAGATTTGGTGTAAACGGAGGGAAGATGAAAATGTCTTGGTTTTAATTGGGGTTAATTAGGATACATGGCCTGTAGTGCAGATTAGGGCTGGATTGGCTCAAGGGTTAAATTGACAGACCGTTGCCTCTACAGAAGCTGACGGTTTTGTGTGTGGATTGGGTCAGCCATAGTTTAGAGTCTGTGGTGGTTTTGTTCTGTAGCCTCCTTTTTGAAATTTTTATATAGTTGATAAATCTAGGTGCCACTCTGTTGGAAGCAATACAAGTTCATTCAAGTAGATCTAGTCCTGGGTAACTGACCAAGTAACTCAGTTAGACCACAACCAGCAGCCCCATGTTGGTTTCCTGTATTTGAAGCTGACTTGAGTATTTGAAGTCATTTTACCTGAATGGCCAGATTTAGAAGGGGCATTAGTAAGAAGTGCAGAAGTTAATAGGGAGTGTAGTATGGGTTCTGTCATTGTCACTGATTTTATTACATAGCCAAATCAATGATTTTCTCCATGTGCCTACATTTTACATTTGTACTTTTGGGAGCAGTAACCATGGCTACTTTTAAGGGTCTTCTGAAGATGAAAGAGAATTAGTAAAGGGCTTTTAGGTCCCTGGAAAAGGAGTACAGGTTAAGTGTGTATGGTTAGCCATTGCATTCAATGAAGAGATTGGGGAGGGCTGGGGTTTATTCCCTTAGATTCTGACTTTTGCCCTTCTCTGTACCAGGCTCTAATGCTAGAAAATTTACAGAAACACTCAACACCCCATGCTGCATTCCAGCCAAATTCCCAGGTAAGAAAAAAGGTTTATTAGATAAGGTGGGCTTTTTGGATGCACAGACATATAGAAGGACATAAAGATGTATACTTGGTGCTTACATCCACACCAGTATTTTCCTAAGTTCCTGGGTTGAAAATTTCCTCATACCAGGACAGCTGAATTCTAATAAAGAATTCAAGAACTGAATTAGGAAAGCTATTAGTTAATTTCTGACGCTTGCAGTGGTATGTGCAGAAAGATGTGGCTCCAACTGATTAAGTGTATAGTACAAGAATCTGAAGTCATTTATTTGCCATTGATTTGGGAAAAATAGTTGATGTCTTCTAATGTAGAAATGAAGTAGACAGTAGGGCAGTGGAAGAAAATACTTGTAAGAAGAATTCTTGTGTTGACCTAGATTTTCGAAGAATTCAGTCTTTTGGAAATTAAACACCATCTCTAGTATTAATGCTGACTATGCTTATCCTCCTAAATATCATTAATTCCTCTGTTACTTAGGGCAAGAAACTTAACCTTTAGAGGCCCTGGATTCCTAAGTTCCTATGTACAATATGAGAAAAGTTTGGACTAAATCCATGGTTTTATAATTACTTGACTTTGGTTTTGTAGAGCTGCTTTTGGGGGCTTCCTGGGGAAGATAACCTTCTTCCCAAGTGAGCAGGGGTTCACACTCCCCTCTTAACTAAATTAGATCTACTTTTATCTGTTTTTATATATTGAGTTTCAGCATAAGATTTCTTTAGAAGAAGTCATTCCACAGTTTAAAAAAATAAGATTTTTAGACATTTTGATCTCGTAAGATTTTTTTCAGCTCTTAAAATCCCCTCATTATAGTATGTTACATACATAAAGGAAAACATCCAGGTCTTCGTTAGTGCAGTGTTGTGCAGCTCTGGTACTAGATGAAGTCCCAAGATACTGTGGAAAAACAAGAGAGCCTTCCTATTCCCTGGTTACCACTTCATTAAGCTATATCATAGTCTAGTTGGCTTACAGATGTTTAGTTAAGTATAAGCTTAAGAAACTATGTAAGTTAATCAGTTTGTGATTATATTGCTTTTATTCATTGCATTTTAGTCTTTGAAGCTTTGGTTTTATTAACCTAGGATTTTTTCTAGCAAATGCATGTGCTCTCTAATACATGGAACTCACACTTCATCAGTGTCCACTGAATACCAAGAGGAGACTCATCTCTATTTTAGGTGAAGATAAGCATTTACCATGCTTAGGAAAGATAATTAAAACCATAAATAGTATTTACTCAGATTTTTTCCCTTTTTTTGGAGTTCTAGTAGGACTTGCTAGGCAAGAAGGTTCTGGGAGGAGGGCTTGCAAAGAGAAAACTGAAGGATGGAAGAGTGCTGTGGGAGTCTGCGTTGCAGGAAGAAATGGGAAAAGAGATTAAACTCTTGGAGTTTAAGTATAATATTACCATTTCTTCCCACCCAAAGAAAACAGAGTTAAAACTCTGTCTAAATGTTGAACAGACATCCCTTTTCTTAATCTTTCGGTTTCATACTCTAAGTACTATATTTGAATTTTGGAGATATTTGACAAAATGATTCCTGGAAAGGAACAACAAAAAAATGACCTAGTATGAACTAGTATTTTTTCAGTTCTTGTTACTACGGGAAGGAAAATTTAGATAATATTTTAGATTAAAAGGCATAATTTTATGGGAATTTTTATTTTAAGTTACTTGGGCATTGCTGGTTGGGATCAGAATATTTAGAATAAGAAATTATGTGCAGTTCCTCTTTTTGTCGTCTTTTATGAATCATGAGATTCTTTATTTTGGTCCTCAACAAGAGTAGCTTAGAAGAGGACCTTCCAACATTTTTATTATCTTTCTTGGGCTCAAATATAAGGAGGAAGCCTTTGTTCCAAGGAATTTTCTTTCTTCCGTTTCCCTGGTTTGCTTTCCTCAACTTTTCTTTTTTCCATGTCTTCTACACAGATTGGCGAGGAAATGAGCCAGAACAGTTTCATAAAGCAGTATCTGGAAAAGCAGCAGGAGCTACTTAGGCAGCGTCTGGAACGTGAAGCCCGAGAAGCTGCAGAACTTGAAGGTAAGCCCAGACTGTCACAAGGAGTTTTTCATTCTTACTCCTGTCACTAGTAGATAGGCCTGTTTAACTAGGCAATTTCAGGAATAAGGCTGAAACTGCTACTTACTTGCTTTGGTAGTTAGGCCAAGTGAGTTGTTTATTTACCTCTTGTCAGGGAAGAAAACAATTTAACTCTCTGTTAGAAGAGGATTCCTGCCAGCAGGAAGAGTTCTAAATAAATTAAGCTACCCTTTAAATGAGGTAGATCTTAATCCCAGGGAGTTTTTCTCTATGTGCAGTGCTCTTTTTAGTATATACTTTGTGTCCCGCGACTTTGCCTGATCTCCTTCATTCCTCTACATATTCCCACATGCTTAGCCCTTCACTCCCGCCCTGCCCCGACCCAATCTGTACTTTGCAGAAGCTTCAGCTGAGTCGGAGGACGAGATGATCCATCCTGAGGGAGTGGCTTCCCTGCTGCCTCCTGACTTTCAGAGCAGCCTGGAGAGACCAGAGCTGGAGCTCAGCAGACATTCGCCCAGTACGTATCTCCCTCCCCACTGCGCTCTTTTGTCAATCCTGCGTAGTTGGTGGGGGGAGGTAGTTAGGCCTCCTTTCATGCTAAGCCTCCATTAAGAGTCCCAGGGAAATTCTGTGACATTGATACTTCATATCTGTTTGTCATGGGAATTATGTCCTTTTGGAAGTCTGCTTTCACCTCTATGTTGTGTTAACCCCTCAGAGTGTTTTTCCTGAGGCCGTATGATGTTTCTTCTCATTTGTATCTCTTCAGCGTCCTCTGTCTCTGCATTGAGCAGTAGTCACAACCCTTTGTCATCCCTTCACCAGTTGTATAGATGACATATTGCACATCCAGTAATCCACCCCCAAAATGGGTATCTGCCATAGTTCATTAATACATATACAAATTTTTGTTTAGTGCCTGTTGTATGCTAGGCACATGCTAGGCACCAGGAAAATAGTAGAGAAAATACAAGTCTTTGCCCTAAGGAAATTATAGCTTAGTGAGGAGTTAGACATTAATCAAACTATTATACAATAGTTACTGTTGTTCTGTGTGCTCTGAGAAGCAGTGCAGAGCATCATGTGAGCATATTACAAGGATCTCTAACTCGGTATATAGAGTCAGTTTAGGCAAGATTAGTTTTTTCATATAAAAATTAAGCACTCATTTTGTATAATATTTCAAGCAAAAATCCAGAAATGCAGCGTTTATCTTCTAA